GCCGTGCAAAGAAACGATGCCTGAGTCTTCCACTCAATCCCGAGGTCACATCCTTGGTGCCCCAGCTCCGCCAGCAGCACTAAGCAGCCAGGAAAGGGTCATCCACACACACACAGCTGCTGTGCCCACGGTTGCACCACTTCACATCCCCAGACGCAGTGGTGCTTTCTCTGCACCGTACCCAACCAAAGGCAGCGAGGCTAAAGCATTCCACGTGCTGTGGGGTCAGCTGGAGGACGGTGGAAGAACGGGGGAACTCGACAGAATTTTTGTGGATAGCAAAACCCTGAGCTGCCAAAATGCACCTTCACCTTCCATGCAGGATCTCCTTCCACGTAGGAGGAAATCGCTGGTTTCACAGCTTGGGCCACGACGAGTCTCCCAACCCACCACAAAACCTGTGGTACAGCATGCTCCCCAGCACAGGAACACACAGCAGCACTGCAGCAGTGAGGGCTGCAGCCCCACTGAGAACCACAGCACGGCCGCCTGACCCCGATGCACCGCAGCCGTACTGGAGCCACACTGCAGCCAGGCTCCCGTGCCACTTTGGTGCCCCACAAGCTGCCCTCAGCCTACTTAAGGAATCCCAGATAAATTATGAAGTGCCATAAAAAGTATAATAAATTTGAGAAAAGCTGTTAAGTTATAAATATAACCAACACATGCAACATCACTCAGATGGCAGAAACTAGCTACAAAATAACGTCATTTTAAGCCGCTATTCCAAAGGTTACCAAGTCTCTTCATTCACAAATCACACTTCCCTTCATGGCAGCCCATCCCATTGCACACGTCTTCATGCCCATGAAATGCACAAACATCCCTGTGTGTGGGACAAGGGACTCCATCTCTGCACCAGGAACTCTAAAGAACAAAGTTACCCTGAAGTCCCCATTGCCAACTCACAAGCAGAGGCTCTGCAACAAGTTGCTGAGCATGAGCTGCGTCCCCTTCTTAAAGCACAGAGCATCTGCAGGACGAGAGGTTCTCAGAGTGTATTTCATGTTGCTCCCTCTGAATTTAAGGCCCTCTCTGCGTATCAAGCTCTGCAGAACAATTTCTTGCCTTTATTTACTCTCAAGGTCCTGTACGTTATGAATATTCATTGGAATAATTAAAAGGGCTGTTCACAGCCCATTGTGTTTACTGTTAGCCCCATAAAAAACAAACAGGTTAATGACGATCTTTAATACGGGAATTTAATATCTTTCCACCTATATATCGGCTAAAAGTTTAGCCTCCCCTTTAAGCTTCATCAATTTACGGAGAATAAGGAGCCTCCATAAAAGCAGGCTGCGGCTGTAAGTCACACAAACACACCTCTGCGGGTTTGTCGTTATAGTTCTGCTTTACTATTTATTTTATTTTCTTTGCTGAATTTCTCTTTTCAGTTTTGGTCACAGCAGTAGAGGGAGAAAGGCAGGGTGTGATTTGGGAGCACTGCGCTGCTTCACTGCTGGGCAGCGCTCTGATGGGCTGCACAGAGCTGAAAAGTGAAGTGCAAAGGGAGAGGGCAGCAAACACCACTGCTGGCTCACCTGCAGCACTTGGCACTGCTGTGGATGGAGCCTTCCACCGGGCCTCAAGCATTACAGAAACGTTGCTCTTAGGATCACCTGAAGTTTTATTGAATGCAATGAAAACTCATTTCAGATGAGAATTAGTCCTGGGATGGATGACCACTGGGTGAAGTATGGCCCAGCCATGCGAGCTAATGAACTCACAAATATCTGGCAGGGAAATGCAGGGTCTGGGAGTGTGCAGTGCCTTTCTACCCGGGGTGGGGAACAGGACAAACCATGGAGAAAACGTCCCACTGAACAGCAGCATCACCACAGCTCTCGCCTCCTCCTGCAGCACAGCTTTACCTCTTTCCACAGCCCAAGCAAAGCTGCACCATTTCCTGAACTGCTCAGAGGAGACAGAAGCTAGAAGCAGACCAGCAGACAGCCCAACACCAGGGAAACTGCCAGAGGAAACCACAGGTGTCCCCTCCTGCAGGGCTGTACAGAGGCATCCTCTCAAATGAACTGTTATCATCATTTACTGATGAGCACTCAAAAACAAAATCACAAAAGGGACAGACACCATTCCTTCAATACAATAGCAATCATCCAATCCATTCAGAAGGCATGGAGTAGGAAATCAAACAGATGAAGGAGTTAATGTGCATTTCTGATGGCTATGAGCTGCTGCTCTCCTTACCTGCAGCACATGCAGGGAGCTGGGGGCTCCAAGAAGGAGCTCTGCTACATTTATAACCAGGAGCACCTGAGCACCTCCCTCTGAAGCTATTCCTGACAAAGTAAGGGGCAAATTCACTTAGAAACCACCAGTTTCCTTGTGATTTTATTTAACTCTGCAACACTCCCTGATGCACAGGAAAGAAGAAGAAAACAACGCTGGGCACCAAACCTGCATGAGCTGCAGGAGCAGCACAGTGCCAGCCTCTGAGCATCCTTCAGAGCATCCCTTAGAGCATCTCTCCACTGCAGAATCTGGAAATAACGTTGGCGGTTTCTCTCCAACCTGTGTGTGCTCCACAGCGAAGTCAGATTTGCATTTATATTCTTTTTAGGATGAGTTTTCCCACATGTCAGCCTCAACCATCGCAAAGCATTGCAAATCACACTGGGATTTGTTCAGAGTGCACCCTGTAGAAGTCACACGTGTGAAAAGTAGAGTAATCTGGAAAGAGCTATTACTGCTAATCCAGCCTTTTGTATGATGAATAGCAACATACCTAGACGCAACTGTTGCTGCACAAATAAACTACTTCTAAAAGAAGTTGAGATAAAATAAAATGACTTTCTCACTTTCCAACTTTGTCTGTAATCATGGGAAACAATCTATTTCAGTAACTGAAATTCCTTTCTTCATAAGCACCAACCAGATCATGAGGAGGGGGAGGAAAATGAGTCCCTACACTCACATGCAAAGCATCTGTAGTCATTCTTCCCACACTGCACTGAGGAAACAGCACCCAACACCCTTTTTTGGCCCGACAGTGCAAATGAAATGCAATGAGAATTGGACCGGGTGCACTTCCAGAGCAACACAGGTGCAGCTTTAGGGATGCACAGCAGCAGCATTGTGCAATCCCAGTCCCCAAAACAGGGGGAAGCACCATCATTTCCCAGCACACTGCCCATCTAATCTTGCTGCTGACAACCACAACCAGTTGGGTTTTTCCCCATTGTGGGGCTTTTCGTGGCTCAGCCCATGGGTGCTGTGCCCAGGCACAGAGCTCCACCGCGTGCAGCAGGGAGTGGGGAGGAGGAAAAAGAGTGGGGGAAAAAGAAAAAATTAAAACATATTAAAGGTGTTAATAAGCGACTTATTTAAACGGAGTATCACATATTGAACATTAATCACCTTGCAGTAAAAGTGTAATTAAGGAGTCACTCTGCCTTCTGGGGAAGGCTCGCTTGGAAGCCGAGTGAAAATGGTCTCTTTATTAACACAAATTATTTTATTTGGCCAAAGGTAATAATTCTAAGTGAGGTCAACGGGACTTGTGCACACGCGAGCAGCACCAGGGCCAGCCACTGTTTCCATGGTGACCGAGCCAAGTTCACCCCCAGCACAGCGATGGCTGGGCTGAGCGCATCGCCCATCGGGCACCCGGACCTCCCTGCAGCCACAACGCTGCTCCTGGGGATGCACTGTGTGAGCACCGTGGCACATTGCATGCTTTCCTGGCACACTGACACCACAAGGATGCACGGTTCCCACTCTGAGCAGCACAGGGATACAGGCAGCCCGTGCCATAAAACTCAGCTCCAACGGCAGCACCCAGGAGCCACTCTTGGCTCCCAAGCACCATCCTGCGCTGGGACAGGCCGTGCGTTGAGCTTTCCATGCAGATGACTGTCTGAAAGCAGCTATGATTTATCAGTCTCTCGCGTCATGTCACTCCTTTATGTACAGCATTATACATAGAGTGCCGCATTAACATTTTACTATTATTCTTACCTTGCAAAGCAAAAAGATAAGTGAGTAAATCTTGTCAGTGTCAGCGGGGCTGGCACATGCCACGTGGCTCAGCTGGCACACCCAGGGACACCTCTGTCCCCAGAGCCACCTGGACCCAGGGAAAAGCCTCATGGGACACTTCTCCGGAGGTGCTTGCCATCCTCACAAACCCTGCAGCACTGCCCACAGGATGCCAAAACAACATGGAAGCCGCCCTGATGGATGCAACCGAGGTATACTCAGCACCAACCTCAAAACAAGATGGGGTGGGGACCCCACCCACACCACCCCATCGCTCAGAACCCATTCGTGCCCTGACACAACGTGTCCCACATGAGTCCGTGTGCTCCCCAGCCATAAACCAGCTCCTGCCACCGAAGTGCTGAGCGAGGTACCTGGTCCTGTGCAACTTATTATCACCTAGTCAAGATTAATCAAGCAGGGAAAGCTAAAGCAGGTCCCTAATTAGTTGCTGATGATAACTATATTTGTCATCCTCTCCCAATTAGTCTACTGTACATTTTGGAGTTTAATTGCACCTTGTTCTTCATTTAAATGTCATCATGTGCATATATTCTCCTCATTCTTTAGTAGATTTGAGAAAAATTTGACATTAAATATAGATTATCTTTAGATTTCCATAATTAACACAACCAAACTGTCTTCAGCTCATGTATTCCACCTCACATGATACATCTGGAGGCTCCCTTAGAATTCAGTGTTCCTGGGGCTCCTGCTGGAGGTGGACATCACCACTGCACCAATGACACCGGGACCACGGATGGTTGGTGGTGACACGGCCTGAGGGTCTCTTCCCTGACCGCACCTGGGTGACCCAGAGCCGAGGGGAGACACAAAGCCAAGCAGTAACAAAAAGCAGAGGGGTGACACATGCCACTACCTAGCCACATGCTGTCCTGCCCCGTCCCCCCACCCACAGCCCATCCAGCAGCACACAGAGAAGAACCCAGAGCAGTAAGAAGGAAGGGAAAAAGCCATCAGGAAAAGCTGCACGGTCCTACCTGTCCCTTAAGATGAGGTGCATGACACCAGTCGTCCCTACTGCTTGGCCACAGCAAAATCCCTGTGTCCATCCACGTATTCCCTACTGCGCCAGGTCTTGCTGTGCTCACTGCAGGCTGCAACCTCCTGGTGCCACGGGAGGAGGCTGCCGCTGACTGAGCAGCTGGGATAGGAGAGGGGAAGGGAAAAATGGGGGGAAAAAAATAAAAAAAGGAATCAAGGAGTAGTCAAAAAGTGTATTAGAAGCAAATTTGGAGAGAAATCAATGGCTTGTAATTAGATTTGATTTTTCTTCACGTTTTGTTTGGCTGGGGGTTATGTATAGACTCCATGTGAGCAGAGAGGAGAGATTAAAGCGCAGAGAACAGGTGCTGGATCACGAGTTGGTGGCCACCAAAGCATGACAGCTCCATCACTGCTGTCAGGTGGCACAGCAAATAAACATATAAATAAATAACAGGGACAGAGATGCAGCAGACCGGCATTCGCTCACACCACCATGCAGCAACACCCAGCCCTGCTCACAGGGCTGGCATTTGGATTTGCCACATCCCCACGGCAGGGGATGCTCCTGTACCCCTCAATGTTTTCATCCTGCTGTGGATGCTGGGGCAAACCTGGTACAGGCACGTGCTCCGGGCAAAAGAGAGGAACCTACTTGTGCCAAGTCATCCTGATCATATCAATAGCTGCCCCTAGGAACTCAGTGCTGTGTGTTTGAGGTCTTCTTTCTCCTCTTCTAAATGGGAGAGCTTTGCATACATGCACATATACACACATACAGAGGCACACGTGCACTACATATACGTATAAACACATACAGGGATGACCTACAGGGTGTCCCCTTGCTGGTGATGGCTCTGCCATCAGAACTCACTCTTATGGTCCATTTCTTTTTTCATAACATTTTCCTTTAACCTTGAAATTTAACCTAAAAGTCAGGCTGCTGTCCACATGACTTCCCAAAATAAATGGCATCCCTAATTAGCAGCACCCTCCGCCGCTCTGCGCTCCAGGCCACGCTGCATCAGTGGACAACTCCGCCTGATGAGCAGTTATCGAACACACGAGCAGCAATCAACACTAATTAAACACTCGGCTGTTGAGAGGAGACAATGTTTTCCAAAAAAAAAAAAAAAGAAAAAAAATCAAGAGGAGGGGAGCACATCTTCTGTTTTCTATAATTAGTGAGCAATATTCCCCAGGCGGTTGCAGCAATCGAACACGGGTTCGCTCGCAGCTGCTGGGTGCACACACACAAAGGATGCTGGGGGCACACGGTCAGGGCAGGGGCAGCACCCATGGGTGGAAGCTCAGCAATGCTTCCCAGAATGGGGTCCTGCCCTTCTCATCCCCCTGGGCTGCATGAGACCAGAGCAGAAATGTCCCCAGAGGGGGAAAAGGAGGAGGTCAGCTCTCCCTGAAAGCTGAAGCAAGGAAGGGCTCCAGCTATAGAGACAGCACTTTCTTGGTTTGTACGTGAGTGAAGGAAAGGAACAAAAAACAACCTCCAGCATGTTCTGTGCTCTGATATTTCACAGAATGACTGATGTTGGACAAGACCGTTAAGATCACCTTAGTTAACCCATCACCATCATGCCCTTATAGAACCATGGCACAGTTTAGGTTGGAAAAGACCTCCAGGGACCCAGGCCCAAGTCCATCCCACCCCACCTTGCCCACCAACCACATCCCCTCAGTGCCACATCTCCACAGCTCTGGAACACCTCCAGAGACCGTGACTCCACCACCTCCCTGTTCCAATGTCTCACCACTCTTTCAGAGAAGAAATTTTTCCTAAATGTGTGGGAGCAAGCTGGAAGTGGTGTCAGAAAAACCTTTGATTATCACACAGATGCTAAATACCGGCAGGAAAAGCGTGTGCCAGGGCAGGGGAGGAGCAGTACCTTCCGACTCCTGGCTCATGGTGACTGTGGCACAGCTTTGCTTAAGTGGCTGCACTCTGCCCTTGCACTCTGCTGTGATCTATCCCAGATACCTCCCATGTTTCTGGTGGTAAACACTCGTTCCTTAGAGCAGCAGCAGATGGTCAAGAGCATTTCCTGAAATTGAATATTATAATGAATTTAGGATCGAAAAAAAATTTACATAATAATCTGTTTTAGATTCTGATAGTGAAGAAACCTACACAGGAACTGCTTCTTTTCAGCTATTTGAATTGAAGTACAAATCTTCAAGTACTTTAATTATAAACAAACTCCTCGCACTTGCACATCCATGGAAGAAATTGAAAAATTAACCACCCGGTGAAGCTCAAGGCCACACATGGGCTCCTAATGGAATGGGACAGGTCTGTGCCCTGAGAACCAGCCGTACCCAAGTCCTGCTGATGGGCATCCCTGCAAGCAGGGCAGAACCCCAAAGGGCAGCAAACTCGGCTGTAAAGTGCAGATCCCTTAAGAAACCATCAAATTTCCTTAATAATAACATGAGGGAGCCATGTCCCTTTTAGGCCACAGGACCAGGGAGCGCTTTGCATCGCAGCCCAGCACCGCTGAGGGCTCTCCCTCTTGGAAAAGCAAATATTTAGACTAGATAAAAAATCCCTGAGAGCATTTTCCCCAGGTAATACTAGTAACTAAAATAATCACATTCACTTTGCTGGTTTAATTTTATATTTCCATTTCTACCTTATCTTTTTCCTGCAAGCATCATTAAACCACACCATAACAAAAATACATGAAGTGTTATTCTTTCAAGAGAAGCCATAAACCACCTCAAAGCTTTTCAAGTTTATTCTTATCTCGTACATCTTCCTCTGGTTCTTTTTTTTTTTTTTTCCTTCCCTTCCTTCATGCATTTCAGCAAGGTAGTTTTCCCTAACGTTAAAAAGAGTTGCATTGAAAATGAGATGCTGCCTCTGAAAAATGCCTCTGGAGGATTAAATAAGTAAAATATAGCCAGAAAATAAACTGGAACCTCATTAAAATAATTTTGCAAGAAGAAATCCTACCTCACAATAGGTTTTCAATATCACTTAGAAAATTCTTAAGAGTCATACATATATATACGTTCTTAATTCAGGACCTTCCATTAAAAAAGGCATTACAGAGGGAACTGAAAGGCCATTTAGCACCCTTGTTTATAGAAAAATGCGCATTAGGTACAGATGTAATCTCCAGCAAAAGCCTTGAGATATGGCTTGAAGGAGCCGTGCCGCGCTGCAAGGTGCTAATGAGGGCACAGGCAGAAGCAGGGCCCCTTTCTTTTGCTGCAGAACACAAAGCTGTGTCCCTTCAGCCATGCCCACGACCAGCCCGGACCACTCTGGACCCTCTGTGCCACCAACGCACAGCAGCACTGAGGAGCACTAAAAGCAGCTGCTGGAACCCAACACGCCGGCCTTGCAGTGGCACCTGCACAGCATGGAGAGTGGCACTGCCAGGATCTGCTGCAGCCACATTTTGGATCTCCAGAGAAAAGAGCTGAGCTAAGACTTGGGGAGTGCAGGAGAAACACTGCTGATGCTACAGCTTCTAAAACAGGGCAGGAAAAAAAAAGAGAAAAAAAAAAAATGGCAGGTTTAACTTTGCATTGAGCTACAGCACGTCGTTACATCTCTGAAGTATATAAAACTATTGATCATAAGCAAGTCATTACCTCTGCGTGCAGCCAAAGCTGTGCAGTAGGCAAACAAGGGGCTGTCCCTGAGCCCACCCTGCATTGCGCACAGCCAGGGCAGAACCTGCCTGCACACAGGCATGGGAAGGCTCTGAACTGGAACTGAATTCAAAATGACAAAAAAAAAAAAAAAAAAAAAAAAAAAAATCACAAAGAAACAAACGTGCCTGAACACCCTGCACAGCAAGATGCTGAAATGCTTCACTTCAATCAGGGACATTTCTTGAGAATGGGATTCCCTTCGGGCTACCTCCAAAACCTCCATCATTTTGAGCTGGACCTCAAGATAACATCAATAACAATGAGGCCGAAGCCCAATCAAGGTTAAAGCCTTTCCCTCAAAGCAAACCGCCCCGCCCCCCCAGCCAGATCCCCCAGCTCCTTCCCACCCCCAGGTGCCAGGGGACACAGGTGCACAGCCCCAGACACATGCAGTTACATGCAGCAGCCTCGCAGAATGCAGCCATAGTCAACCATGCTTGATGTTACACAACATTTGGGTCACAAATTTTATAGAGAATAAATATCACACTTCAATTTCATGGTGACTTAGGAGGGTTGACTGGCAAATACCATGGCTTTTACATGGTTCTACCAATTACCAAGCAATTACACGTAACCTAGATCTGGAGGACATACAGTGGGATATAATACATTCCTCTCTGTGTTAAAAAGAAAGAGGCAGTTAATAGAAAACACTTTTTTTTTTTTTTAATAAAACCCTCCTATTAGAATCCACAATATTCCTGGGTGATGTTATTAAAACTCCACGTCAACATCAAACCCAAAGGAAAGACTGCCATCCATTACCACATCAGTCGTGGGACGATCAATAAAGATTTACTTTAAACTGTGCCATATGTCGCTTCCAAGAAAGTTTTATTATTCAGATTCACCAGTTTGTACCTCAGCCCCCATGCAATTAAATCCCACTTAGTGGCACCGACCTTCTGAGTTGAACTTGTCACTCCTGCAGCTGGTTTGGAGTTTAACACCACTCTTAAAGAACGAAAACAAAACGTCTGCATTGATGGGGAGCACGGGGAAAGCCCATCAAAACAGGGAGAGGGGAAAAAGAACACACAACAAAAAGGAAGGCAGGCACATTTTAACATGTTGTAGCATATTTGTAAACATCGTTAATCATGGATTAGCAGATGGTAATGCTAATTGCACCTGTGGAAGTAACAAGACCTCAAGGTTGATTACATTTACAAACTCCGCTCCTCGCTGGAGGATTCCCTGCTGTGTCTGGAGGACCCACGTGCTGCAGGACGACCCTCTGTGCCTCCCTGGAACCACTCAGACCAACAGGACCGTGTGCCTATCGGGATCCTTGGGCTCTTTGACCTGATTTGGGGGGGATGAAGAGATTTGTGCTCCCCTGGTAAAAAGGCAGAGACGGGGAGCGTGGCTCCTGAGATGCAAGGACAAATATTTTGCCATCGTGCCTAGAGACATTTTGATTATTGAGAAATCATTTTGGAAGGGCAATTACTAAATTTTAAAATCAATTTGGTAAATATGCTTCCAAAAGGAATCCATGACAAGCAGCAGGGAGGGAAGAATTGACTTTTAAATTACACAAACACACGCTTTACTCATATCTAAATATCAAAGAGACTCTATGTACAAACAGAAGTAATCAGGAAGCATGTTTTGATCTTGCTGATGTACACAAAAAATGACAATTAATGTCCTCCTTTATGATATAAAGCCGTGAGTTTTTTACAGTTACATTACAGGGACGATTATAGTTGAGCTTAAGGCTAAAAATAATGAAAGACTATAAAAACTACATTTTAACATTTAAAAATATCCAGGAAATTAACTGCAGAAGCAGGCAATGATCCAATTAATGGATTGCATTTATTAAATCGGGGGCAAACCGCACAGCACTCAAAGCTCCAGCTCCAAAGGTGCAGCTCTGCTTGGCGCTGTGACCATTCCCAGCGCTTTCCCTGGGTGTGCCAACAGAGCTGGCAGGCAAACTCTCATTAGCACTAACCATAAAGCACCACTGCCTCTTCAACTCAAACCCTGCAAGCCCTGTCTGACGCCACAGCACCAAATTTAGGCCTGAAGAGGTATATAGCAGCAGTGTCCCCACAGGCATCAAAGCTTTCTGGGAGCTTTGCAGAAGAGGTTTCTGCTCCATCGCTACTCACCTGGGATCTGTTGGGGATGAGCTGCCATGGCTGAGCGTGGGCAGAGGGCACGTGGCTTTCTCAAACACAAGCAACCTTAATGAAGGGTCTCCTCATGTTTAAGCACTGCACAGAGAAAGACGTTATTTGCTTTTTAATGGAGAAACTGCAGTTTATATGGAATTAGAAATCTCTCTCCATATAAATATTTACATATATATAAATATTTACACACACACTTAACTATAGATCAAGAAGAAAGCAATGGCTCTATCCTCATCCCTGCTGCTGGAGAGGATGAACCCTGCTAGCCCCAAGAGCTGCATCTGGCTTGCGAGAAATAAGCAAATCTAGAGCACGGGCTCCCTCTGCTGGGGCAGACACGGCTGCACAGCCAACATCGTGGCGACAGCGTGCCAGCAGCCTCCCCAGCCCTTTCCCCTTTTATTTCAGCAATTAAGAGCCAGGCACATTCAGCCCCAGAAACGTAAGTGCTCCACACCTGCCCAAGAACCACTATCCCTGTCGTCCACCAGACCTCAGCTGCTACTCAGTGAACATCTTCAGACTCAGGCACCACAGCTCTGCTCACATTGCAGCAGGCATTTCGGGGAGGATTCAGTTTTGTCTTTTTGCAGAGGAGACACCTCAGGATACACTCTGTCACAACAGGCACCTTCAGCTGCGGCTGCAGACCCAGAACGGAGTACTCAACACCACCGAAAAGTAAAATCTCTCAGTGCAGAGCAGTGCAGGATCCCACCTAGATGCCAGCAGGGCATGGCTTACCCTTACCCATCCAACATGGGGCTCCTCCAGACACAGCCCCAGCCCCTCTGTCCCACCTCACTGAGGGCTCAGAGCAGTGCAGGCAGTTAAGGCTGTAGCCAAGCAGTCAGCACCATGAAACCCACCACTGGGTCACTGCATCCCAGGCTGGGCCGCACTCCACGCTCACTTCAGCCAGGAAAGTCCTCACTGCCAATGCAGTTGCAGAGCAGTGTGTCCTGTCCCACCCCACATCCTGTCCCTCTCCTCATCCCACCACAGCCATTGCCCTCAGCAGGGCCGCCAGCCTCTTGCAGGGACACATCTAAAAAACCTCCACATCCACAGACTGGTTTACAGACTTCATTTAGCTCAAAGGAAAGTCCTAATTAGTCACTCTGAGTGATTTACTCGTTCACTTGGAAGGGGGAGAGGAGGGAGACTAAGCTGAATTGTTTGAAATTATCCCTAAAGGGCACTGTAAATTAAGTGTTAATGAGGAATCCTATGCAAAGGGCCACAGTAGCTAAATAAAATAATTAAGGTGCTAAGCGATAACATTCATTCGGTTCTCAATAATTCAGCCAGGCTGGTTCTCAACCAGGATATTTGCAAATGAAGCCACTGTCATCACCGCCCCTGAATCCACACACCATCAGTGGGGACAGCAGTGCTGGGCAGCTCAGAGTCCAGCTGGATTAGATCCATCACGAGAAGGAAACTTCCTTGAAGAGAACAAGCTCCCGGCTCCCCTTCCCACCTGAAGGAAGTGCCTCGTTCCACTAATCACACTCTGGATTTATATATGACACAAAAAGGATTGAGTCAAGTCTACAACAAATCTTTACAGAGGCTTTATTTTAATGGGCCGCATTTTTCCCCACTACAGCTGTTTCTAACAGGTCACGTTCATCCTCTGGCACAGCTGCAGACTTGTGTTACAATCAAATACAACACGGTGTGTTTTCAGACATTCAAGGAGCAAGGTGTAACAGAGAGACTGCCTTATCATGAATAAATGGCTACTGAGCAGTCCCAGATCAGACCAGCTTCTCACCAGCACTCCAGGCACAGGGCACGGCTGTTCTCTGAGTCAGCTCCAACCATGAACCACCATTCATCTACAGCCCCAAACCCACAACCTGAGCAATGCAAGAAGTTCCCCAAGCAACAAACACAAGGCTTGCAGCCACCACTGCCTATTTTACTGCTAAAACTGAAGGTTTGTCTACTTTCAAACTTCCTTCCTCACAATCTCTCCTCTGAGATGCTGGTGGAACGTGTTACCATGCACACAGGCATGACTTCAGTGCTGGCCCAGGGCTCTGCTGGTGTGGTGCATGAGAAAGAACACACCCTGGGTCACTGGGGCTCACCCTGAAACTTGCTGAGATGGTGCCGAGCCTGGAAGGAGTACTACCATATCCATAGTGAACACAGCCATGGAACACTGAGCAGTTTCTTGCCATCAAAGATCTTGGCTGGGCAACTTCCACCATGTGCCAGGATAAAAATCAATCACCGTGCCTCAGCTTTTGGCTGCAGATGGAGTGCAGGAGAATGCCTGTAGGAAAGTAAACAAAAAGACAACAATCTTTTATTTTAACTCTGTAAGAAAATCTGAGGGTCTGGATGCTTGATTGATTTTTAAATGCAGAAATTCAGTCCAATGCCATTGCACAGGATCTGTTTTTACCAGTGGCTACGGAGACGTTCAGTGACTCGATGCCTGGGTGCAGTGCCCTGCCAGAGGGGATGACCAGCATCTGGTGGCACAGGAGCTGCGTCTCCAGGGAAAGGCCATCACCTTCACTACCTGCAGAACAAAGACTGCTCAGGTCAGCCTGCAGCCACGCTCCTCTTTTCCATTCATCAGTATACGTCGTTGTGAAGTAACTTCCCAACTCCCATTAACAACAACCACAGACAGATGGAAACCTGTCCTATCTTCCCCTCCCAACCCCTTCCACTCACCCTGGATCTGTTCCCAGAACCAGCAGGGTTTTTGAGGAATACCTGTGCATCACACCTGTACTCCAGCATTAAGCACAGAGCCTTGCAAGCACAAGTATGAGGATCCCATAAGCAAGCATCCACTATGCAGCTGCCCACAGACACGGGCTGCTGCCAGGGGATGAAGCAGACAAGGCCACCGGCCTCCTCTGCCACAGCAAATCTGTGTCCCTATCGATAGTGACAGGTTCAGCCCTTTCAGCAGAGAGTACCACCAGCTGAGTGCAACTTGTGAATGCAGACAGTTTAACCAGAGGCTTCAATTGATTAGTTGTTAAACCATCCAACAGCCCTGATATGTTTGGGCTGATACACTGGTGAAACAGAGTTGAAATCTATCCCAGGTCATTAGTAGTTGTTTGACTCACACTGTCACAAAGGGAAATGGAAAGGGAGAGGCTTTAAACAACCCTGTGTGCAGACAAGTGAAAATTCAGAAGACCGCAGACCTCCCAGCCTGTTCAGCTCCCCAAAGACTTCTTCCATATTCATTATTTAGAGCTACACAGACAGCTACGTGGCTGCAGGAATACCTGGCTCATTTCAAGATGTGCTTGCCCCCTAACAAACTAGGCTCAGCATGATGGAAGCCAAACGTTCCCCTTCAGCTGCTGTGCTCTGGTCCAGACTCATCCCACAGCAGCACCACGGGGCACACACTGCCTGACAGGGGCTGCTGTGCCTCTGCTTCATGGGATTCTTCAACTTGGACTGCACCTATCACCAGAGGTGCCACAGCTCCTGGAGCATTCCTTTCCTCTCTCTGATAAAGGTCTTACGATTCCTAATAAAGGCAGCAATTTGGCTTCCAGCTTTTACAAAGCTGTTTATGGCCCAGGCTGCTTAAAATAATTAGGACCCATAAATTCAGGGCAAAAAGACTTGCACAGAGTGCGACACGTGGGAGGGAGTATTGACTAGATCAGATAAAATCCTGGTCTGTACTGGTGAATAAAAAGCACATCCTTGGCTTCAGTATCAGTTTTGTCTCCCGTTGACAGCGCGCCTGACGTAGTCCCTCTGAATTATTTGGTAATGCATCTAAGTGCTCCCAACCCATTCCTGTTCACACAAGGCTTCCAGTCTTAAGGCCAGTCAGCACATCTGTCACCTCTGGCAATGAGTCCAGAGCAAACAACACCAACTTGGACTGTCCAAATCATTCTCTGCTATGCCAGCAAGGATACCAGAGGAGTGGATTCGAGTCTGCAAACACAACTTACAAGACAATCTGTGTGATGCCAGGAAGCTCACTACCATGCTAATATATCTTTGCTGCTGTTTGTGGCTAGAAGTGTGCTACATATTCAGATCTAGGATGTTTCTTCAAACAACCCGAGCATCAGACAACTGTAATGTTCAATTTTCTTTTCAGCAAAGAGTTAGTGCTCAGCAGAGGGCTGAGATCATTACTGCTGCAAGGTCTGGGAGCTCTCCTTACGTACCTACCAATCAGCCTCCAATCTCCCTTGACAAAAGGATACTTGGACCTTTTCCTGGAGAAATCTCTCATAATTCAAGGTAATGACACCATTGCCACTTTCACCTCCTTCCTTTCTCTTGGTGTTGTCAACGTTTCTGGGATGCATTTCTTTGTGGTCTATCAGCACTGCTGCCAGTCTCCCTATTCCCTTTATAATATAGGTTCACACATCTTGTAGAGATGCCAGATTTGCTGCACTGTCTTGTCAGTATTTCTAGGAGTTCAATAAACATTTTAATTAAAAGAATGTCCTCTGAGCCAAGAAAACCACAGCACAGGGCAGGATTACAGCCCCTTGATGGCTCATCACCAGCCTGACACCACTTTCAAGTGTAAAAGCTCAAGCCAGCTCTTATGCCAGGTGACAGACACAAAGTGGGGACCAAGAAGATGCCACACACGGGTGCTTAGAGCAGCATTCTTCCTCTAGCTGCCACAAGGCCATTACTCCCCTTCTTTTCACCTTCTGTCAGCCTACACAGCTCCAAACTCTGCCTGCAAAGGACAGCACCCTTTCCAAATCTCCTCCACACTAAGGAGGAGAAGCAGAAGGCCCTGGAGTAATCACAGTTTAGTTGCTCAGGACTGGGAAAGTGGCACTTCTTGCTCACACAGCACACTGTGAGAAAGCTCCTGGCCTCTCCCTTTCTTCTGAGACCATATTCCATTTCCAGGCAGATCATTCTATACTCATTCTATTGCTCAGCTTCTCTTTTCCAGACCAAAGTGTAATGCAACATAACAGATCTGCAACTAGCTTAAGGGATGGAATACCATCCCCCTTATTCCCTCACATATGCACTTGCTCCGAGACCAAGGCTCTGTAAATTGAAATACCTATCACTAAAATAATGGGTTTGTTCCACCGAAACTCCAAGCAGCTGATGACAGGAACATTTTCCACAGTTTCAGACTGGCTCACTGTTCCCACAACTTCCCAGCCTTCTGCAGCTTTAGCCTGAGAACAGGAGAAGAAACAAACGTTATAACAATACTAACTTTTCAATCTTAAAAGAAGACATGTACATAACCATATTTTTTTCCTAGATTTTCAGTTAAGCTGACTGGTTTTTTGACATCCCTTGAATTTTCACCACCGAAGCCCTACCAGAGCCAGGACACAAACCTTGAATGAGAAAAAGGAAAACAAAAAGTAATTTTCCTTCTTGTGTTTCTTCCAGTTCAGCAAGCAAACAAAAAGCAACTGAAATTACTTTTTTTTTTTTGCCAATGTAACAGTTCTAGGGAGGTTTGGGTGCTTTTTTGTTTTGTTTTGTTTCCCTGAAAAGCATTGAGGAGTTGCTGTATTAAACAAATCAGCTTAAAGTTAATGAACAGAGTAATGCTGTGTAAGTTTTGAAGCACAAGCTCAGCCACCAGAACCATTTTCAAATACAGATGCACATCCAAAAGTCAGTTCATAAAAAAGCAGAGCACTCAACACCTCACGTAGCCAGAGAAACAGCCCTCCTTCCCCTGCCCTAACATAATGCACTTTAATTATTTATCTTAGAAACCTATTTTAACAATAAAAGAGCTGCTGCCTCTTGCCAGCTTCATTTCCTGTGGAACTGACACTTTTTACATTAAGTTGCATCAAATTCACACCAGACAATGCCAATGGTTAGGCCAGAGAATCTGGGTCCAATAAAATGAATGGCTACAATGGCTCAAAACGTTAATAATTCAAACTTTACAGCAACAAAGCGATTCTTCCAGCTGTTTCAATGTCAATGCACTTTACGTCTTTCAATTCTTCATCATTCAGAGCTCCAGCTGCCACAGACCTGCTGTAAAGCTGAACACCGGCCTTCTGGCAGTGTGGGAAGAGTCCACACTTAGTCCAGCTCATGGTCACAGCACAATCTGATGAGCTCCCCCTCAAAGAGACAGAAGCAGAGCTACAGACTGGGTGCAGCTCACACACAGCCCTGGTTTCTCACCACTCCCTTGCACTAAAAGCTGCCCAATGCTGCCATCATGTGCCAGGCTCGAGGACATTACCTCCGTGCACATCAGGGAAGACCCACAGCAGGGAACTGCACCACCTCTGGTCCCCATGGATGGGTGGGGGGACAGATCCCATCCTACTGGGTAGATCCATCCTACCATGCCAGCACCTTTTTCCTGAAAGGCCTTGCAACACAGAGCTGCTACTCCACCAGACTAGGGGTGCACATCTGTAAGAGATCCTATGGCACACACTACAAGCAGCGCACAGGAATGCAGAGCAGGAGCTCTGAACACTGCAAATAACCAAGTCCTCTATTTGTACCTTCTCTGCTCAATACGTGTACTATTTGAAGTTTCCCACATGCTGTAAAATAGTAAAAAGAAATGTGCATCATTCTACCTTCAAAAAGCTCCTGAGATCATCTGTGCTGTAGACATCAAAGACTTCCATAGCTCCAGAACTTGCTTTGCTCACTACTGGAGTCAAGGGGCAGCTGCAAGAGAAAAAGAAAGGAAAAGTTTCATAAAAGAACAGAAAGGGAAAAGTAGGAGGATTTCTGCTTCTGTATTTTCTTCTACAACCCAACTTCATCTAGTCTGCAAAAAATCTTGTTCTCTCAATGGATGCACTTTCCTATGGGAAACAGGAAGGCCCAGATACAAACCCAGGAGACAGCCTGCAGCACTTTGTGTGCAGCTGAACAATTAAAACACAAAATGGGTTTTTTAAAAAAAGGGCACCCAAGGAGGTTCCCTGCCAGCCTGGAACGCTGCATCCCACAGCCTCGACTGCCCAGCTCTGCCCACCCCCACATCTCGAGGTCAGTCTTAGAAAGCCCTCTAAAGCTCAGTTCATGAGCATAGGCTTGAGACCTCTATGGGGAAGAAAACAGAAATCCTGAGCATCGCGGCAGCGAACAGCCGACCCCATACCTGTTCCTCCGGCTCGTCACCACTCTGTCCGCCCCCAAGAAATACGCAGAGCGCAGCAGTGCCCCCAGGTTCATGGGGTCCTGGATCTGCTCCAGCACGAGCCACAGCAGCTGCCGTTTCGGGCTCTCTCCATCCCCCAAACCGGGCTCTTCGGCCTCCTCTAGCCTCTTGAAGCGGAGCGGAGTGGCCTCCAAGCACACTCCCTGGTGGACGCGGCCCCCGCACAACGCATCCAGCTCCCTCCTCCCGACGTGGAGCACGGGAATCCCGCGTGCCGCGGCCTGCAGCACGAACTCGCTGCTGATCGCACGCTGAGAGCCGCTGCTCCGCTTGAGGAACAGCCTGAACAGATCCCTCCTGGCCCGGGACAGGGCCATGGAGCACGGCGCTACGCCGAACAGGATCTCGCTGCCCCTCGTCCTCTCGATGGACAGAGCCCTTCCCTCCGGCCTCCTCCCGCCCTTCGAGACCTCGCGTCTCGCCGAGCCCCAGCCTGAGTCCCGCAGACTCCCACCGGAGATGCGGGCTCGGTCCCCGCCTCGCGCCGCAGCCGTGCAGAACCGCCAAGGCTGCCGGACCCGCGCGGGGCCCTTCCCAAAGCAGCGGCTGCAAGTGGCGGACGGCAGCCCCACGGCCCCGCGGGCGAGAGACCTGAGCGCCTGCTCCATAGCTACCCGCACGGGGAAGAGACCCCCGGTACCACTCGGGGAAAGGGGGCAGAACGAGGGGATGCACAAACACACTCGGATCCGACCGGGGCGCGGCCCGCCCGCACACGTGGGCGCGGCGCGGATTCCCTGTGGAGGCCCCGCGGTCACGCGCGGCCCCGCCCTCTCCTATAACCGCCGCGAGCACCGCGCCGCTTCCGGCCGGCCAGAGGGGCACTCAGCGCCACAGCGCCCCCTGGCGGTCGGCGGGGCGCAGCCTCACGGCCCGGATCCCCATTAAAAGCTTCACTGAATAGGAAAGTGCCTCACGAGAGCTGGAAATACGAGTTTTGAGGGCAAAACCCTGCTCTATTCTACCCGGACACAGTAATCACAACGTGCTGCCTCTGGCATTGCGGGCAGAGGTTCCAGAGTGCATGCGATGATCCCCATGTTGTCTCACTTCAGCTCACCAAACACCCAAAACCAAAACGCTGCTCCAGTGGCAGCGCACTTCCTATCCATCTTTTCCTTTCATAAGGGAGGAGATGGCAATTGTTCCACGGCTATCTCTTCTAAAAGGAGTTTCCAGAGAGAAGTGTTTCCATCTTCTACTGAAGCAGTCTTCTGCTGTTTATACAGATGGAGATTTCTTGAGTAAAATGATCTTATCCTGCTGCCTGCCAGAGCCAACTGCATCCATGGTTCCTCCCACCCAAAATGAGAGCCGAGATCTGCCAGCAGTACTCACAGACTGCCACATAACATCTCCTAGAGGTACAGCAATGTTAACACAATTGATGACATTTATTACGTAGGAAAAACAAGGAAAGCACAAGATTAGAAAAAACAAACATGCTTTTAATTCCACAAATGCTCTCTACCTATTTACAAGGTATCCAAAACACCTGCCTCAAATCCAGCAAGGCAGACAACTCAGCTATTCACTACTTATTTGCAAAAACATTGTGTTTTAATGACAGCAAACCTGAGCCTCTGCACTTGGACAACCTGAAAGAGGACCAGAAAGTAAAAATCCTTCATTTAACAACAGCAATAATGCACCCCACTTCAAACAAGTGTGGGAGATTGAAAGCGTTCAATATCCAAGTCTGCACAGCAGTACTGGCTCATCCCTTGCATAGTTTTAGCCAAACCCAGCAGCCTACCTGGGGATTTCAGCAAATCCCTGTGGAGCACGGCTTCATTTGAACAGGGAAGGGCGAGTCCAATCTCCACAGGTCATCCATGAGACAACTGGATGCTATTCTGCTCTAGAAAGCAATTGCATTTTTTTTTCCCCGTGAGGAACCAAATTCACATGTTTCTGTTTGAACTCTTCACAAAAGATAGGTTTAGCTGTGAACAGTAAAAAGGATGTTATGTTTAAACACGAACTACGATATGCAACAGAAGAACTACATTGCGCCTCTCTTTTTATTCTTTATTTCCTAGTTCACAAATTAGAAGCCTACTGATAAATTGCACAGGTCACTCTCCTGTCTGTTTCTGAACACCTTGGGTCACATTGCCAACCTCATCCCAGCCCAGGAAGAAGGCTCGAGGTGCCACCAGGTCACACGAGGCAGACAGGCCCAGCTCCCGGTGCCAAATTCCTCTGTGGGCTGCACTTCACATGGGAAAGCAGCCAGAGGCAGGAAGTCATCCGGCAGGAAAAATCATCCCCCAAAATCTCATTCGAAATGGAAAAACATAATAGATACCATTTCAAGGACGAGATGTTTTAAAGATGTGCAAATGTTACAAACACTCATGGAGAAAAAACACTTCCAGGGCTGCAGGTCAGCCAAGTTGCATCTGCAAGGAGTGACTATCCACACTGGCCCCTTTTCAAGGCCTTACATCTGCAGAGCAGAAAGATAAGCCAGGTCCTGTCTCAGCCATTCATTTCAACAGCTGTTGAATTTCACACACAGTTGCAGCCACCAATTCAGCCATTTCAACTGTGCTTCTCACAGCCTTGCCTATTTTTTTTCCTGCTAATTTCTCAACTCTTTCTTTTTTGACCCTCAGCTTCTAGTTCAGTTCTCTTTAAAAAACGGTGCACGCTGCACCTGTTGACTTAAACAAACTCTTGTGAAAGAAAACCTATGGAAAAAACTCACAGTTTTCATATGAAGTACAGCTGAACATCGCAGTTTGGGGTTGGACCTTCCTTAGCAAAAGGCCTCTGGATTGTGCACCACAGCAGCATGGAGGCTGAAGAGCTTTTCCAGCTAGCACAGGCTTTTTCCACTGCACTGAGCATCGCTGGCTGTGTGCAGACCTGAACTGGCTGCTCCTTGCAGGACACAGTCTAACTCGGTGCTGCAGGTGAAAGTCAGCTCTGCAGCAAGAACCTACACAGAGCCACCGCCGCAGCTACGTGGAAGAGGGCAGTGCATCAGAGTAGTGCAAGACTTTGCCACAGGGCATGAATTTCACTCAGAGTAAATTGAAAGGCCAAATCCAGACACAAGGTTACATGTACTAACTAGCAGAAACTGGTGACAGATGAGGGACAGAACACACCATGAGAGTGTATTTATAAAGATGAAAAGAACAGGGCCACACGGCCATTGTTTTTACCATTACGAAGGAATCCTTTACCACTTTCCCCCTTACAGCCTTCCATGCTTGCTCACCTTTGGCACAAGGAATTCTATGCATCATGACATTTAATTAATAATAATACTTCATATCAACACTCAGCACTTACGTAGCGCCTCTCATATTCAAAGTGCTTTACAGAACAGCTTGTGAGTCCTCACAACACCCCTGTGAGGTAGGTTAAGTATTATTATCCCCATTTTACAGATGGGTCAACTGAGGCAGAGAGGTAAAGCGACTTGCCCAAGGTTATACAGGGAGTTGGAATTCATGACATAGTGGTCTGGTCCTGGTCTCCCTTGTGGTGCTGTAACACAGATGAACTCCCACAGAGCTGCACTGGCATAAGCAAAACAATCCAAACCAAGTTTCTCTGGCTCTCAGTCCTCTACTCAAATCAGCTGATCATACCAGCTCCACCTGCAACAAGGTGTTCACCTGCTGAAGTACTAGAGGAAATCCAAAGTACAGCAGGAGAGACTGCAGCCTTAAGGCAACATGCACATTAACAGCGGCAAATCAAGTTGGGCTCAATGCAGATATGTTTCTGCCACACTGTAAGAGCAAATAAAACAACTCAAGTCATCTCCAGCTGTGCATGCACCAGCCAGGGGGCTAACTCCCCCCTCCCTCGAGTTAGAGGAAACCCAGAGCAAAACAGTGGGGCCACACCAGCATAGAAGCAGTAGATCCAAAGCAGACCTTTCACCTACTGCTTTGTAGCAAATGCCCCTATTAATATGTTTTCATTTTGGACAGCTTCAGCATGGTTCATTTCACTCTCTCTCTCTCTCTTTCTCTCTATGAGTTTGTATCTCTGCATATAAACAAAATTCCAATATTTCCAACTTAAGAGTGATCAGCACTTAAACAGCATCATACATCTTTCAAAGACCGATCAATACTTCCAAAAAGCATCAATGCATGCAAATATCAAACATACAGAAAACCAACAAGAGTGCTGGGTGATGATACCAAGGATAAAGGTGGTCACAAGACAGCACATTTAATTTTTATTAAAAATACCAAACAACTCACTCTTACTGTACCTATGCCACTTAGAAGATCATTCTAACCTGCAAAAAATACAGGTTCTTTTCCCAAAACTATTTACCTACTTACCTAGAAAGAAAGAAACAGCAAGCACACGTGTTTATACCTCCTCAAACTTGGCAGGCACAATTCATATGAATGCAAAGGGAGGGTTTGGGAAGGCAGGGTGAGTTTGTACATTGGCTTTAGGGCAGTGGGATATGAGAGAAGAAAATATCACATCCATCGTTACCAAAAAAGCATCAAAATGATGAGAAGAAACGTAAAAAATAAATGGATGACATCCACCAGAAATCTCAAACCCTAAGCACATGGAAGCTGGCAAACACCTTGTGCCACTTCACCTATGTCCAGACATCAAATAAGATCAAACCAACCTTGAAAAGAAAGCAAAAAGAAGAATAAGCCAGTCTGGAGACAATCTTCCACAAACCACTTCCCTGCATTATTTTCAAATACATTTTACTCTTACTCAGTTTCCAAAAGAGTAGGGGAGAAAGAGACTCACTACTATATATATATTTTTTAAAACTGGCTCCATACCAGCACCAGCTGAGAGAGAGGGAGAGAAAAATAATTCTTCAAACATGATCCTTGGTACTTGAATAAAACGTTGCTAGCCAGCTGATGAAACCCACATTGCCAGAGGGTTCCAAGTGGAGTGGATACACGGTGCTGCTCACGGTCTTCTTCATTTGCTATGATATCTGTTCCGTGGGCCTCATCTGTATATCTCCAATCTAGAAGAGACCAGCACATGATTTTGCTGCAGCACTGACATAGGTTAAACCTTGCACTGTGTACTCGCATGCTGTACTGTTACCGTGGTAAGCTGCACGCAAAGGAAGTTCCTGCAACTAAAAACAAGGCTGTTTAGCTGAGATACTAAAAAGAAATAAAAGTGAATGTAACTTTTTCGCCTATAGCAGAAAGGAAAAAAGAGCAAAATGCACAGAAAAGAGTATGAGATGCCACTGAACTATAAAAGTTTATAATCAAGTCTTAAGCATGGTCCTGCTCAGAGGATGAAACAGAGGCACTGCTTTTACCTCTCCACATTAGCCCCCAGGATGACCTTTCATGCTCTTAAGGCAAGAAGGCCAGCTTCATTAGAGACAGGACCCCTCAGCTGCTGTGCTTCTGGACTGATCTAACGTCAAAGATGGTTGCACCTTGCTCCAAAGGAGCAGAGATCATACTACGGGTTTGCTAAGCATCTCGTGATCAAAGTTTGCTTTTGCAACAGCAGCTTAGTCAACATCCTAAACTTTGACACCATTCTTCCCTCCTCCTGGTTCCCGCTCAAAGCTGGTCACTTATTTCTTGTTTCCCAGGAAAGAAGTCCCTCTGGCAGCAGAAGCACCTTGGCAGGATCCAGCCCAACACATTTGGCAACTGGCAGAACCTGAACCAGCTGTAAGACAGTCAGCAAATCTCAGACGGCACTGTCCAGAAGGGACAAGACGTGCCTGTATCCCTCCCA